GGTTTGGTATAAGCTGAAATGTCCGAAACAGCAGACTAAGTTCAAGTTTCTTCGACGCTTTCTTCCACAACAGTTTGACGCTCCCAGCGACAGTAATCCCATTATCTGAAATCTAACCTAATAATGCTGTAATTAAGACTGCAGAAGATTATGTACGTCAAATGTACCTTGGATCTGACAGTCAGGTCACTGACTTCCCGGAAGACTTCCTAGCTCCTGAAATTTCTTCACCTCTGGAGGTTTGTGGAAGGCCTATTTTACGATTAAGCATTAGGTGTATTGTCAGAATTTAGAGTGAGGCCCAAAAAACGGAGACAGAGGCAAACGAACCCATACAAGGCGAGCTAATAGACGATGATGATTCCGACAAGGTTGCTCCCGCAGTTTGTCGATTCGTTTTGATTAGCACCGATTTTCAGGGAGAGTTAACTTCAATAAAGTTTGATGGAGACGTCAGCGTTGACGTGGAGTCGGTTAGGCGATGCATGCCGTTAGGGGCATTCATGACGGGTTCATTAGCGTCGTTCTATTTCAAACACTACATTCCTTACGTAATTCTTCGAGATGATAATATAAGGTAACAAAATACGGAGAGTTATATTCTTAACATTGCAATCTTCGTAGTTTCAGAGACCAGATTATCTTCTTCGATAGCGATTGTTATGCACTCATTAGAAGAAAGTGTGAAAAAGATTGTAGAGATCGAACGGATGGAGAAATTACGGTTGAAAAGGTAAAGGGATTAAGAAGCAGTTAATAATCATTGGATGATTTTAAAAGTTATGTTATTTTTCAGGCTGTAGCCATGTTTGGTAGGCAAAAGAAAAAAGAGCTGCTCCCGTTCATCATGGATTTAATTCACTATGAGCTAGTAGTAATACCGCTGTTTTGGGACAATCATTGGTAGACTTGACTCTCTCCTCTAGTCTTTTTTTTAAGGTAGATAGTCTTAATTCTAGGATGTTGGGACTACTTCAAATTTATCCGGGTGGTGGCAAGGTAGGTTTAGACATTTCCCTTGAATTCGTCCAACTTCTCAGACACATCCTTGCTCTTGTTGCAGTAGCCTTCATGATAATTTTTTTAAAATTAAAATTGTTCACTTGCGGAGTCAGGCATGTATCAATAAAGCATTGGTATGTGTGGGAATACGGTATACAGCATTTGCTTGCCACAGCAAAACAATTTTCATTTTTGAAAATGTACTTTTTGATTGTTGCTGCCAGCGGAGTTGCCAAGAAAACTAGAAAACAAAAAAAGCGGGTTTTTCCGTTTTAGGACTCGATCAGCGGTCGCCTAATCATAGTGGACAGCAAATTTAATGATCCGGTCAACAAGTGAGTATTTTGCTCTTGCTTATTTTTCCTTACACAACTGCTCATACTCCTCGAAGAATGTAGGCGGGTTGTAGGAAGGGCCAGTGCCAACCGGTAACCTGCGCGCTCGGTGCGCAACCCTGCGCACGAAGTTAAGCTGGAATACTAGGCACTCTACCACAGCCTGTACAAGTTTTTGATACTTTTGACTAGGACTTCCGATACCACCGATACCATTCCGCTTTCCTTAACTCAGAAATAAATTCGGAATTTCGGAGTTTACCGGACACTCATTTTTGTCTGCAGCCCACATCTACAAAGCAGTTTGGATTTTGTTTGTAAAAGCTTCCTCATCATTGGTATAGGAAGAGCCTCTCTT